GCTGGAAATGAATTGGGGCAGAATGCAGAAGTGGTACCTGTGTCCTGATTACTTTGTTCATGGATGTTGTCGATGCGGATTTTGGAATGCGATCAGCAGCTGGTTGCAGTCGTGAACTGCTACTATACCAGACTGATGGAGGTTGTGAAGAAAGGCGTAATAAATCAAACGTGGCTTCATCCAAAGCCAAACGTGACGCATCGCGACTTGATCCGGACGGCGACTGCAACTTTATTACACTACTCACCTTTCGCATCAAACTCTTGGACAAGGGATCATCCTGGCCAAGGACTGTGGATGAGGGAGTTTGATAACCCAAATTTGAGGATATGAAACAAACGTTTTTGTCAAATCTTCCTTTTGCCCACGCGTTCTTCCATCTAAAAATCAGCTATTCACTACGTCGAATATTTTCGAAGCTTTTCTATTTCTTTTCCTCACCAACACGTGAAATAACTAAGTACCAAGTACTTACAAGGATATGGACCAATGGGAGAATCAAGGGAAAAAAGGCAACTTTGAGAGAGAGTAAAGGAAGAAAAGAACAATGAACTGAAAGCAGGGAGCTAAGAGGTTTCTACCCACTATGTTGTGAACGTCTTTAATATAACGACGCGATTGTTTCTCGTTACCGTAACGGCTGAAACGTTAATTTAGAGACCAAAATCGTATAAGAATATTAATATCAGGTATGCCTGACCTCCTTTCAGGTCTCAGCTTTCTTAACAAAGCGAGCAACTGCTATCATTAAAAGACGTGAAAACAAATCAAAGAGGAATTGGTTTTTCTTAGTGGCGAAATCGAACTGTCCGTTTCAACAAACAAAGTAGTGCTACTTGACATTACACCGAATGTGCTTGTGCTGTAAATCCGAAAATTCTTACGAAATGATCGCGATCCGAGTAAGCGCTCCTGGCATACCGTTGTGTGTCATGCCAAGAATCTAATTCTAGTGATTGCAATGCGTCGTAATGTGAACTGGTGAATTTCGTTTGCTTTGTTGGTGTTGTTCGTGCTGTTGCTGTTGGACTAAA